AGTATAGACAAACAACTATAAACGCCATGATGCTAGCTCGATTTTTTTCACCAGCATTCATTAAGTATTTTGGTAATTTTTTATTTCAGTAAAATTATAGACAGGTATTGAATAATATGTCTGTGTTTTGTGATATCTAACAACGTTGTGTATAATGATGTGGTTATTTACGAAACGTATTTTAGATTTGAATTGACTTTACAATGACATGTCACATGTAGTGTTGTACCTATTATTTTAACATGTCTTTTCAGTGTACAAGACGGCACTCGAAAAGCATTCTAAATTATATAGGAGCAAATACAAAAAACCGGTCGTTTTGTAACTTTTTAATAGAATAATAACAACAAGATAATATAACTGAATCACTAAGGCCAACACTATTTTCCTGCACTAGGATACAAGTAAAGCTAACTATAACTAAAAACAAAATAAATAATATCATACAAATTACATCATTCTTTCTTCCTCATATACATTATAGGTTTGATTTAAATCGTTTTGATCACAAGATCCACACTACTGACACTCATAGATTCCACAAATTATTAATACAAATGTTATACCTATATAACATACATGTATACAAGACTCATAAAATATAACTCTTTAATCGGTCCGTCATCACCCCACTCCCGCTATAGGTCCAAAAGAACTCGATCTTGTATACCTATATGGCTATATCTATGAATATTGGACCTATAGGCTATAGGCCGAATAATTAGTCTTTGATGTCGTTCGTCTACACAGGAGATGTGTATCTTCCGATGACAGCGCTTCACACCTTTAGATATATAGTTAATGATGTAAACATTTACGAGTTTATAATGACCACCCGGGGTAAATCCGATCGTGTCCGACTATTGTTTCCCCACCGTCCGCGTGTATATAGCAGCAACACCAGAGCCCGCCCGTTTGTTATAAAAATTCATATGGCGTATCTATGTAGCCTTAGTGTTGTTTAAAATAAAAAAGAAACAATTTAAATTAATACGCGACGCGTATATTATGTACACATACGCGTCGGACCTCGTTCAGATCCGCATGCTTATAGTATATACAATACGCAAGCATAATATATATGCATATACATAGTTAGGAATAAATACAATATACTAACAATAATATAATGAACGCGTATCGACGACAAAGAATGTCCCAGCCGCCCTGCAGCTATGCACCGCAGCAGTATAAATCACTTCGTCGTAGCCCTGTGCAGCGGTGGCGTCTTCGGTGTCGGCATCCCCCTTTCACGTCAATATAGGCCGAACACGTCAAGGTAAACATTAGAATAAACAAGGGAAGAAAACCACATTTCGGGTTTTTTTTTTTATTTTCGTCTAAAAAGGTCCGTACAGCGCGAGTCGTTTAAGACGATATATGTACAGCTAGGCCGCGGTACCTGCGTAATATGTGTGTACCTATGTATTTTTTTTTCCAAATCGATTCTTTGTGGTTTTATTTCATTGTCCGTGTATTTTGCGCCTCGTCATCCGACCGCCGTCGCAGGGAGATGTTTATCACGCGTATGATACTATAACCGCTGTCGCCGTGTCGCGTATACATATTACGATCTAACATGTATTCTCCAAAACAGATAATAATATAATATATAATATACACCCCTGCAAACGTAACGGAAAGGTCCGACTCGTCGGGGCGCCCACACGCGGAGAAGACTCCTATATATACCTCATACATTATCGTACAGACGTACTGTGTATATTTTTATTTGACATTTCGCAGCGCCGCGCGCCGTAAGTATAATACAATATTATAGTCTCTCGCACCTGCAGCAGGTAAACCGCGGTGTTTACCGCGGGGAATGCGATGTTCTTAAACGTTTGAAGACTTGAACCCAGGATTTTCAACGGTATAGCCGACTTCTCGCGGTTAAAAACCAAGTACGTGTATTATATAACTTAACATGCACATAATATACAACATACAATACGCCCACACCACCAAAACGCTATTCATGATAATATAAATATAATATGTATATACAATACATTTATATGTGGGCCATGTCGAACAACAGACTGACCGGCGCTAAACGCAGCTCTCTCTCCCTACCCGCGTAGTACATCTGCTATATATAATACAGTATGTGTAGTGTGTACGCACATGACGTCCGAACGTTGTATGGAGTCAATGTATATATATTGTTAAGCGTATTTTTAAATCGAAACGAAAAGAATTTTACGCTCACGATAAATCGACGCGTAGTAGTAGATATAAGGTACAATATAAAGATTACCCACACGCGTGATGTAACGGCTGTGATCTTTTTAGCGCGAGTTGTTTTTCGACGGCCTTCGTCTATATTTTTATCTTGGAGCTTGAATATATACTTATCTGCGCTGGCACCTGATTGCAGGGTTTGATTTTTCTGCAAAATTCACACCACGAACGGTAAAAAACACCTACCGAATGTACGATGCGCACATTGTATAACATTTACGTTAGGTACGCTTATTCGTTTAAAATTTTTATAACAAAAATATATGCTCAAAAATTGAAATTCAATCAAAACCGGTTCACATGTACTGTATTTATTAACCGGTTGGAAGATCGAAATAAAACAGTACATAATATATTAGATAAAAAAACCACAACGTCCAGACACAGCTAGTGTGTCATTGATGAATGAGCAAGAGTTTCTCGATTCTTTACAAATAATTACGTATAATATACCAAATAAACTCATATACGTCTACATACACCGGGGTTTTTACTTACAAGCTTTTCAACGGCACCCACCGAAATAGTATTTTTTACAAATACCTACGCCAAATTGTATTATTATTTATTATACATGCTCACATTGTTTTTAAAAATTAATTTTATTGCTGTATCGAGCAGTCAGAAACAAAAAATGAAATTTACGTTAACTGCTAAGTTGGATGAATATTATATGATGTACCAGCTATATATTAAGTTCTGAGGGGGATGTATAATATGCCATACACTATACAGTGTACCCAATTAATAGACAAAAGGTACCTATCAACTTTAAATAGATTTTAAAAATATTAAACTACATATGCCGGGTTGCATGAAAAAATTATTAATTTAACGGCCCAATAAAATTTAATGGGCCGCTAAACCATGTTTAAGGGGTTATTAGCTCACTATTGATTCGTTAAATGTTTAGTGATTGTTCATGCAACCCGGCATTATCGTGTTAAAAAAAATTCTTAGTTTCAAAGAATTATTTGTTTTCTATTTTAAAAGTAGAACTCTGCAGTATTATCATTGAATTTAGCAATATTGTGTTAAAATTATAGAGATTATATTACAGTCAATAGTAATTTGGGTTTAATTGTATCAAAATACTATAAATTAACTACAATTTAATTAAACCTTAATTTAAGCATTGTAATATATGTATCAGATGCAATGATGTATAAAGTTAAGTTACTATCAGACCAATGGCCATAGTTGCGGAGGTTTTATTTTTTATTATCAGAAAAAAAATTTCAGATACCTACCATAGACGTACAACTTAGAACAGGAATTCTATATATAGCTATATTTTTGAGTTTTTGACATTACTTAATTTTTTACAATTGGTATTAAATGGGTGGTATTTTGTATTATAAAATTCCTATTCATAACTTAAGAGAACAACGATGTTAATTCCAATTATAAATCATAATATTTATGAAATAACCTGTATGTCTTTTTTAAGATTTTTAAGATTTTTTATAAAAACAACATTGTTTAAACTTATAGATTAACTTTAAGTTTGATTTTAAGATTAATTCATTAATAAAAAAGTAAAAATTTCTTGCAAAATTAAATAAAGGATTAACGACAAAAAAATTGAATAAATGCGTATATTTAAACAGAAATATGTAATTTGTATTATATTAATATCGAGTCTTATTTAAAAAATGGTGTACTAAGCAAAAAAGGTTAGCTCGTGTCCTAAAATAAATATTATACGGCTAATAACTATTTTCAAAATTAATACCTTTAATATCTTTAATATAATATGATAACTGACTGATTTTAAGATATTTCTTTTTTATTTTGAAATCGATTTATACCAAAATACATAATAATGTGTAACCTAGACTTTGAGGGCATATTTATAAAACTGGTTTGGCAATGTACTATGAAACTTTTTTTCATCACATGGCCATTTAAGCAGCTAGTCGTGTCGACTGTCGTGCAGAATGCAGAGTGCTTAAAAATACAACGATGATATAGTTATGTGTTGCATTTATATGATCGATATTTTTTTCACTTCAGACATTTCTACTTTTAAGCCAACTAAACGGTAATAAAACAAGTATAATTTAATTAAAAAAAAATACTTTTGAAAAAATACAATAAAATATCAAACAAAAGTAATATAAATAATATATTTTACAATAAGTTACAATAGAAAACTAAATCAAGAATACCGTTATAATTTATAGCTGCGGCGGTGTATATAATATATATAAAAGCGTATATAATGTAAATTATAATGTAAGTGTAGGTACCTACTAAGTACTAACCTAATTAAAAGAGAAGAACAATTCAAAATTGGTATGAAAACCAAATGAAAACGTCTTAAGCATAAGACTATAACTATGGCATTCAATTAAAATAGTATTTTGCACTTTACATAGTCTGAAATTCTACTACATTAGTGCTTCAAATCTTTAACAAAAAATAGTTTTGACTTATTTTTCAAATTTTGCAGTCTTGTCAGTCTATATTGCATTATTTTGTTGCACTAACTTTAAACAACAATAGGTAAGCTATTTTATATGGTATGAAACTCGTGAACACCATTTAGGTACAATGATAGATGCCTACATCGTAATTAATAGCACAATGTCATAAAGCAGATAGGTTGTAATTCGATACATGACGATGCGATAAAAATGTAGGAAGTTACGAAAGTTAACTTTGTTCGTAAAAGGGCAAGTGTTAGGTTGCCCAGTATATAGGTACCAGGTACCTATACTGATTTAAATATTATAATATTGAGTGTTCGTTACCCGGTATCTGGTGAAGTGAACGAGGTCCGTTTAGCCGTCACGTTACCGGCGCTCACGCGAATCTCGACTTCGCCGTCCGGTAGCACGTCGGCGGACACGGTGTCCGCATAGGCGCCAGACATCGACGACACGGCCGCCACGACGGCGACCACGACGGCGACTGCGACTGCAACGGGTCTGCGGCTCATGCCATCCGGTTGCGCTGCGGACGCGGACACTGCGACTCCGAAACGGCCGACCGACGGTGGCACGAGCAAATCCTCTCGCGGGAGCGAAAAAGTGGCCACCGCGACGAAAACCGGCAGCGTCCCACTAGAACGAACGACAACAATAACGGATAATAATTGTAATTAAATGTCACTCCCGATTTGGAGAGGAGGAGAAAGAGAGAAAGAGAGACGATCGAGTTGTGTTGGATGCGGTTTCGTGTACGAGTTGTAAAATATGCGAAGCAAAAAAATTATTGCGACGACAATCTCGGCGGTAAAACGTGCGCGGCGATTGTGCGGTCGGACACACGTGCGTATAGCGAATGGTTCGTGCGTCGACCGGCTAACTAACGACGGTGCCGGTGGTGCCGCGCGAACAGAAACCGCCACTCCTGATGTCACTCTTTTGGTCGTCGTCGGTGGCGGCGTGCACAAGACGTCCCGGCAGACACGCCTACCACCATGCGCCGCTTCTATACGTATATTATACGCTATGCTGCGTTGCTGTGTATCATATCAGTTCACTATACTCAACAGTAAACCTATAAATTTGTTGTTCATGACATTGTTTTAGTTGTTACTATTGCAGTTAGCCACTACTATTCGCTACTGCAAGCGATGTGTGTCGAGTGCCATAAAAATAAGTGCAGCAGTCAGTGGGGCAACTAGACCGCATTTCCGGAAGGAAGGCGGTTTATATATTATGTACATTTTTTTGTATATAATGTACCGGGAAATTCACCAAGCGTTATGTTTCTTCCGTTTTTTCTTTAATAGGTAATGTATTTGTTCAAATTGTTTTTTTGAATTTTTTGAATTTTCTATGGACAATTTTTTTTTTAATTCTTAATTTTTTTTGTTCTCCGATACTCTTAAGGAGTACCTATACTGTGTCCATAACAACTTCTATTTTCAAATAATAATATTTTTTTCTACTGTAGGTTTAATGTTATATTAAGCAGATCATTTTTCTGAAAGTCAAACGAGTAGTTTCTCAATTGTTTAAGTGTTTATGCTCATGATAATATAAAAATATAAAATAAATATAATATTGAATCTTGGATTTATTATACTTGAGTCTTTGACCATTTTTAAAAATTATTTATGCTGATAAATTCTCTTAATATCATATATATATATAATTAATTAATATCTTGAAAATTCGTAATCGTAGAACAATATTATAGTACCTACTTAAAGTTAAATAATTCAAAAACTACTGGTACGAATTTTCAATAAAATTATCTACTAAATAATTTACAGTAGAAAAGGATAGTTCTCGTTTAATTCTATTTAAGAAAAAAAATGTATATTTAGCTACATCTAAATAACTGAAAAACAAAATAGCATTATATCTAATCTGCGCCACACATTGTTGGATTTCACATGATAAATGTACCAAACTCACATAAAATATACTTGATATTTATGACATATATGATGACATTTCGTTATTCATCATTTGCCTTTTTGCAGAAGTACTAATACAATTTACATGTATATTCCCTAATAATGAATCGTTCGGAAATTTTTGTATCTATATGCCCTATATGCTATGTCTTATGATATAATATGCAACTGTGTGTCTGGCGTTTGCAATCACACCGGTAGACGTCATCGTTTCGTCAGGACGATAACATTTTTTTTATGTGGATGCTACTCGAGTTAAATTAATAATATTCACACTTTAAAATAAGTTATGTAGACGCTTTTTTTTGCTTTCATTTTTTGCGTTTAATTTATATGCGTATTTTTATCGTCATTTTTTTTATTGCACTACTAGGTACTTGTTTTATATAAAAAAAATTTAACGATAGTAAAGTATTTGTCTTAACCCTTTTGCAGGTTAGGTTATTATATTGTCTATTGTATATCTCGCTTTGGTTGGTAGAACGCATTTATACTTCTACTAAAATAACAATAATCATGTTATATGTACCTATTGTACCTATATATCATTTATTTTATTATTGTACATTAATTATTGGTAACGTGTGGTTTTTACTAATATGTTTAAGTGATCTTAGTTTTGTAGAAAACTGTTATAAAATATTTTATAATATTCATCTTAAACTGAACAATAGGTTAACGTGGCACTTACTTTAAATCAGATATCAGAATTGGACTGAAGTAATAGAGCATGCACTGATCACCATAAAATATAACATTATATTATCGGCATCAAAACATATTTTGGTTTATATATTTTGTAAAGTTATACACTTATTAGTTATTACACTTTACCTTGATATTCTCATGCATTTTACCAAAAGTATTCATTTTAATACAAAATAAATAATAATCAAAATAAGTAATATTCATGACCATTGACCATAAGGGTAATGTATTAGCATTTGGTTTTAACATGAATAACTTGTACTGTTCAACGTTTATTACACATTTCGTACGTTTGTATAGTAGGTAGGTGTATACCCATATACGTAGAAGAGAGGCTCGGGGGCGTATATTTTAAACGTAGAATAATAACCTCCCTAGTCCCTGCCTCCCTTAAAAACGATTGGCCACAGATCAGCCCACTTAAATATTAAAATAGTTCTGGCGCCACAACATTTTATTTGATAATCTTCGTAATATTTTGATGCTGAAAAGGGAAAAAAATATTTGTTTAATTTCAGAGACTGTTGAAGGTAAATAATAAAATAAATACAGGGTAATTCACCAACCATGCTCATCCAATTTTTCCTTTAATAATTCAGTTATTTAAAATCTAATTTTGGAAATCTTAAAGACCATATATATATTTGAGTATAGTTTTGAGTACTGCATATTGCATAAAATATTTGAATTTACTAAAAATATATGTTTTCGGATTTTCTGCATTGGCTTAATACTTCTAAATTGTGCAATCTCTATAGTATGGTGTATTAGTCATGACACGGCTATAGCTAAACCTACTCACTCAAGAAATGTATACATAAAACCCAATGTATATAGTATGGTATTAGTCATATTATATATTAATAAGTAATAACTCATTGATTTTATAACATAATTATACTTAGTATTTGTACTAAACTATTAGCTATTTCGCCTATTTGAATTCAAATTGAATTTAAAAATCGATTTAGTGATTTCGTGTAATATATTATGTAATGTAAAATATCTATATTAAAACTAATTACAAACTTTGTGATGTTTCTGTAATTTGAATGTATTCAATTTTGTAATTTAATCGTAATACATAGATTTAAAACCATCAGCAAGCATATTAGGTAGGAACAATAAATGTCTATAAAAACCAGAATACATTCGAATTTATTTTTAAATGAATTCGAAAAAAAGCATTTGGCTTGTAGAAATATTTCACAACCACTCCTACAAAAAAATAACAATTTTTTTAAATATTTAGTAGATAAATACGAAATTATTTCGAATTTGTACGACTCTCTCAACATTTTAGCAAAATCCATTTTAACCGAATAAAATTTTTTTTTTAATATTTGGCATTTCACTGCAGCACTTCCAAAAACTAAAAATAACTTTTTGCATATTTTTTTATTATAATTTATATGACCTCTTGCGAAATTCTTATAAAATCCTATTTGGTCGATTAGAACAGCTAACGAGGAACTCTGTACCTACTATATTTTCGATGATATTCTATACACTGAAAGTTGAGTTAAATTAATGTTTAAATTTTTCCAAAAATTATCTATATTGAAAATTGAACCAATTCAGTATACTTAATTACGGCTCATGTTTAACATGCTATAAAATGTTTGAGTGAATTTAAAAATAATACGTTTATAATAAGTACACATAGACAATAGGTATTTTCTACTATGTATACTTATAGTTATTATCATTGATTTTATAAAATATAATATTATCTCCGTAGTTACGATATGAGTTATTAGTTAACAACTTTACAGAAAATATATAATGCTATAGACCAGAATATAACAATGATTTTTATTCATAAGATATTTTAATCTTCTTTATTCAATTTATACATTTATATTAATAGTGTACTACACATGTTAACGCGATAATATGTATAAATATAAATATATAAATACATTATACATATTTGTACATAATAATTTTAATTTTACTGTGACGACTAACCAATAAATCGCAATATTATTATCGCCACCATATAGTCACATAGCAGTAGTAGGTAAATATATTATACGCGTACAATACGATCGTATAACTATAAGGCTTAAAATATAATTGTAATGGGTGTTTGCTGAACTATGCCAATTTAAAAGTTGCCAACAAGTTAAAAGGCGTTATGTAAAATCTAAAACGTGGCATATAAATATATCATAAAACATGACTTTCTCTAAGTTATATATTAAGTCGTATAAAAAACTATTCAGTCCTAAATCGTATTGGCACACTAAAACAATAATATCATATTCGTGTTTACATCATAGATTTATTTTCATTTGAACAGTACATTATTAAGTATTTGGTATGTTAACATTTAATTAATTTTTTTTAATGTTAACAACATAATCATCAATTTTCAATAATATTCATCATTACATGCATATATTATATTCCTTGAGTTCTTATGCATGCGTGCACATTTTTCATTCATTAGCTGTAAGATTGATATTTATGATGTCAAATAATTCAAATTAACTAACCAGTACAGCACAGACTACTACTACGTAAGTTACATATTTATATGTAATGTTGGCATGTATTGTTTTGTTTTTATATGTGAACAAAAGTATAAATATAAAAAAAAAATCTATTTTTTAATATATTAATTAATTTGGATTTTTACTTGATAAGTATGCAGTAATAATTCACCACTCACCAGGAAACATATTTTGCACCTTTTGTAGAATGTATACGATTTGTGCTCAGTATACCTATATATGTATAATATATTAAATGTTTATATGGTCTGGGGAATATTATATAACAAATCCATTCATTAATCATTGTCCAAGTAATTATATCTTTAGTGTGATATTGTAGGTAGTATAATATATTTAGTATTTGAAGTTTGTTGTTTGGACGCAAAATTATACCCACTGTTCAAAAAGTTTTATACCTACATGGAAACATTTTCATCATTTAAAATCTAATAAATGTAAAAATACAGGTACTGAAAACTTGTTACAATATTACAATTTACAACACTATTGTATGCTAATATTTTAACCACATATTCCTGTTGAAATTAGTAAACCTTGAATTAAAGTTAGCTGGCCGCTGGCGGGTACCTACCAATAATATATCTTTTATAGCAATATTATTTTTAAATAATTCTTAAAATAATTTAGTTATTTATTAAACAAAATTATTCTAGATAAAAATGTGATGGTTTAATGTAATTTAATATAATTTTATACATTAT